AAGTGGAATGCGAGATTTTGGTTTGAGACTGGCTAAAAATACGAAAATCCATTACATAAAATAGTTTTATTTATTTTTTATTTTTACTGGTTGAGATTGCTTTTGTCAAGACTTTATTTATGTGCTTCGCTTTGGCAGTCGCCTTTTGGAAAATAGAAATACTTTCTCAGCATGACAAAGGAAATTTTTTGACTTCTCAATTTCTAGCTGACACAGCAAAATAAATCAGTTCTCTTTACTGACTCTCATTATTATTATTTTATTTATAAAATTTAAAAATTATTTTTCATTTATTAATTAAATTTATTATAATTGTGTAATATTATACATATGCTATGTCTTTATTATATTTATTTCTATTTAATACGTAATAATTTTTATTTACATTTTTGACACGTTTTTCCATTTGTCTGAATTTACATATATATATATCATATTTTTTTTTTTTTTTTTTTTTTTTAGATTTAATATTTTTCTGTATTCTTTTATATTCTTTAGCATAAACTACTCAAGATAATATTAAAATACTATTATATTCATATTTCTTTAAGATCTTTAAGATAGATAATACTATTAATAATACTTTTGTACACATATATTTTTAAGAGTTCCTATAATTTTCTCATCAAGATGTTATACTCTAATACAATTAAACTTCAAATAGATTAGCTTCTATATTAGCTAGCAAAATTTGCTCAACATAATATTGTGAATAATATTATGAAAAGGTTGCTTTAAGACTTCGTTATCTTGTTCCACTTTAATAGCCAATCAAATATTTACTTAATCCTAAGCTACTTACCTTAACGGTAACTGCAACTATCTGTCGTAGGGGCTAAAACAAATATCGAGTTGGTAAGCTGAAATTCGATTACCTCGAGCCAAAGCAGCAGCTGAGCTGCAAATGAAATTGCATTTGGGGCTTGGTTAATAACTAAATTTCGGAACTGCTGCATTGCAATTAAATTGTTTTGGCTCTAATTAGTAAACTGAGCAGCGTCTATTTGCTGACTGTTGATGGGCATTCAGACATTAGCATGTCCCTAGCAGATGAGATTTCGAGAGAATTAATTGAAAATCGACTTGAATAAATGCGTTGAGCATTTCGATTAAATGATATACGCCTTAAATGTGAACCTCAAGCGTTTGGCCAACTAGTTTGTTGTTTGACTAAAGCTATCCAGCTGGGTGATGTTTTGGCATTGTGCTTGATGTGGTTAGGCTGTTGCTGTTGTTGTTGTTGCTGCTGCTGCTGTTGGCCAAACAACAAAGCTGCTTAGATAAACTGTCAGTCGCAGCGCCGGCGAATGCGGCGTATGCGTAATTTCATCAGCTGGCACTTGAATCAACTTAAAGCCTGATGAAATTATAAGCCGACTGAAGTGGGCCATTGCCGCGCTGTGTTCAAGTTGTATGAAGAGAGGAGGAGTGGAGGGGTGGAGGAGTGGAGGAGTTAAGGAGTGGAGGAGTCCTTTAAATGTCTTTAAGTTCATTTACTATTTTTGCATTTTCAATTCGCAAAGCTGCGGCTTGGGCAGCCCAGGCAGAGCAGTTTGATAAGTGTGGGTGTGTATTTGCTAGAGTGTTTGTGTGTGTTTGTGTCGTATGCTCTGCGGCTAGAAAAACTTTGCAGCTACAAGCAGCCGCAACTTTTGCGCGACGACATTTCCTCTGGGTCTTGGCAGCAAATTATGCGGCTGGCAGCACAGGCAGCAAGAGCGTCGACCAGGCCGACAGTTCGGCAGTTCGGCAGCTCGTCAGTCCCTCACTCTGTCACCCAGTTAGTCAGCACCTGCTGCGTGCTGCAGCTTCCCGCCAGCCTCACGCTTTGGAGCAAAGTGAGCGATGGCTGTAGTTGTCGCCTGGCTGCTGCTGTCATATTATGCTCGCCATGTAATTTGTATAGACGGCAAGCGTTGGCGTTGTAATTTATGCATGGCCCCAAACATATCCATCAATTCAATCCGCATCCAACTCGGCTCTGGCTGCCTCTCGCACGAGTGCTCACAATAAACACAATTAGCTGGCATTAGCATTGCGCATTAAGCACATTTGTTTGTTGTTGTTGTTGTTGTGCCGGTGGCATTACAACAACTCGCACCACATGCTGCAATTATGCAGCATTTTGTGGCATGATTATTACAATTTACAAAGTGTACAAACTACTGGATGTGATTCAGCTGGACGGACGGAGAGCCGAGAGAGTAGTTTGACAGCACTCAATGAAACATGGTTATAGAACAATATTTGTTTGCATGCAATATGACGTATCAATATTTTATCAAACAGGTAATCAAGAGAGTTGATATTTTGAATTTGTTTGAAATCGTTAAGTGGGCTTAAAGCAGAGTAACTTTTTAGTTATTTTCTTTATTACAAAAATTTTGTCTTCATAATTTATAAAATATAGAATTGATTTTTTATAAAATTTTTACAATTTTAATTTTGTTTGCCAAGTATAAAGTATACGAATATGAGTTGAAAAAGGAGCTACAAAACTGAGTCTCTTCTATCAAATTCGCTTCTTCTTTACAGTAATATTGAATGTATTTTTTTTTAGTATTTAATTTTTATTCATCTGATCTGCTAGCTTTTTTTAGAGTCGATGAAGCTAAAAATATATGTTCAAATTTTTTTTTAGCTCGATTTGCATAATTTGTAAAACAATACATATGGAAATTATCGTAAGCCAGCCTTGAATTCTCAATATAAAATACAGAGTTAAAGCTGCTAAAACAATTTAAATTTAGCTGTTTTAGCTGCTGCATTTTTAGCATAAAAATCAGTGAGAAAAAAATATTTATATTATAAAAAGTTTTTAATTTTTTTTTAATGTCAATGAAGCTGAAAAACTGGCTATTGGCAGATTTTTTTAGGTGAGTTTTTTAGTTAGCTTTTAACAGACTTTTCAGCATTAAAAGCAGAAAAACAAATTTCACTAGTAATAAAATATTTTTAAATATACCATTAAGAATATATTTTGTTTATTAATGCAATGCTAGCAGAGTTTTTTATTCACAATAAAAAATAAAAATAAAAATCAGCTGCTAGCTTAGTTAAATGCTTGCCCAACTTTCGTAATATTTATTCAGGCGCATAGAACGAATAGAACCAGAGCAGATTATGTTCAGCAATTAAGTAAATGACAATACGCACGCCGTTGCTGCATGCAATGTGCCAATGTTGCACTGTTGCAATGTTGCCTGATGTCAAAGTTCAACTGATGAGTTCATCAAATGTCGTGGCGCGCACAAAGCGGCACTCGAAAACAAAGCGCAAATACACTCAACGACAGACGACTCAAGTGCATTGTCTGCAGCTGTGTGGGTGTACGAGTGTGTGTGCATGCATGTGTGTGTGTGTTAAACATAAACGCGGCATGGCTTCCCAGTTGCAAGCGCAAATATTGCCAGCAGCTGAGTTGTTTCTTCTTTTAATAAAGAGTTTAGTAGACATGTGAGTTTTTGGGTGAATCGGGAAGGGTAGGGAAGGGAAGGGAAGCGAGGCATTCAGCACCCGCTGATGTTATGACAAAATGTTACACTGACACTACATTAGATTGTTGCACAAGCTGAAAGTTCTGCTTACACAATTTTTTGTTGTTTACGGCTAGGTGCATAAGTAATGCGTTTTTCAGCAGCTTTTCTTTTTTTGTTGTTGCTGCTGGGCATTGTCAACGGGTTTTTTTTAGAGCGCGCGCGCTGCTTTGTGTCGCACACAAATGCCCCTTGGTGTGGCGTGTGGCACGTTGCACTTGATGATGTGTCTATGTCAGGGCTCTGCTCATCTCGCCCCTTCTCTCTCTCTCTCTCTCTCTCTCTCTCTGTCTCTCTCTTTCTCTGCTCGCTTTGTGACCGCCAGTTGCCATCATTTGACCATAAACTAGCTTTTGCAGGCGCCACAATCAGCCCGCAGTGTATGCAACAACTGTTTGGGGGCCATTCTCTCCCCCTCCACTCCCTGACTCCCCGACTCTCTGACTCCCTGACTGCTGATTGTTGCCTGTTAGCTGTTGTTTGTGCCAACTGTCAAATGTTGCCGGGTAGCGCTTTAGTTAAAGCATTGCCATTGTCATTGCACCTGACTCCTGCTGCCGAGTCCATTATCCTCAGTGCAGGTGCAGGCGAATGCGTGTGTATGTGTGTGTGTGTTAATGATAGCGGAAGTGCACTTCATTTAATTAATACGCTTTTAATTGCACACTATATAAATATATGTATATTTATGTGTGTGTGTATGTGCATGTGTTGCCTGTGTTTGCTTTGCTTGCGTGCAACTGCAGCCATTTATTAACGTAGTTTGCTTGATTATCACTTGAGCTGAGAGGTCTTCCACCTGATTGTTGAGCCAATACAAATGCGCATTAAGCACATACATACATATATTTGCATGGCAAATGATAGAGTTAATACACTCTAGAGTGACTTTTGCTAGATTGGATAATGAATGAGTCAAATTAGAGAGGGTGAGAGAGAGAGAGAGAGAGAGACAGAGAGACGGAGAAGAAGCTCTGAGTAATTAAATCAGGTATGAACAGGACAGATTTCTCACACTTTCTCTTTCTTTAAGTCCTTCATACTCTGGTCTTGATTAACCGTACCCTTAATATATTTCTCTTCTCTTCCCTAAGACTTTCTTTATTAAGGGATCTCTCTCTTTCTCTCTCTCTTTTAAGTATCTTTTTTTATGCTCTATCTCTATCTATCTATCTACCTAACGTTCTCTTCTCATTTTCTCTGGCTCTATTAGACTTACCCTATCTATGTCACTCAATATCTATTACTCTCTCTCTCTCTCTCTCTCTCTCTCTCTCTCTTCATGATCTGGCTTGGCCGGCTTTCTCTTACTCCCCTTCTCTCTTATTCCTTCCCTTTCCTCTCTCTCTCTCTCTCTCTCTCTCTCTCTCTCTCTCTCTCTCTCTCTCTCTCTCCATCTCTCTCTCTCTCACTTCTCACATCAAAAAATCTATTTTCACCAAACATAGGAAACTTTGATAGTTTTTCAGGGCTGTCAAAACAGTTATCCCAATATATATTCACTATATTTACCCAATGAACCGACACAACTGTACAAGCAATTGTAAGTGAAATACAAAAGATGTTAGCAACAGAAGTTACGTAATTCATTTTACATCACATCACACCAGCAGCATTCAAGCAAAGCATTCAACATGTCCTCCGGCTCATCCAATATTGATCCCAACGAATTCAATGAGAGCAATGGGGGAAATGCTGGCAGCTCGGATTGGGCGGCTCAGGAGGTGTCGAGAGCATCGCAGCGATCGGGGCAATCGAGGGGCGCAAGTGGGCATAGTCGACGCATCAGGCAGCGGATGCTGACGCCAGGGATTGGCAATCAATATCGCATCTGGGTCTATCATCCGATAAGTGAGCCGCACCCGAATCGTCATACCCTCAATCGCATCATATTCTCGATAGCTCGAGCCTTGCGCACCCGTCGCTCTGTCCCGCCCCAGCCGGGCCTGCGTCCCGGCGTGATCTACAGACGAAACGCTGATATGATAACCATTGATGTGGAGCGCAAGTAAGTGCTGCTGATCTCAGACAAAACTAACGCCTAATCTCTCTCTTGCTTTATATATAATACTAGCTATGGACGATAGAGCCGTGATACAATGAGCCCCACACTTACATTGAAAACCTATTGGGCAGTAAACTGCATACAACAAAAATTCAGGAATCGGATTTCGTGGAGTTTTTCACATGTCAAGTAAGTAAAGTTCTTATATATACACATACACAAACACATACATATATATTATATATTATATTATCGTTGCTTTCCTCCGACGGTTTGCCTTTGGCATCTTCTAGCTATAAGAACTGATCGACTACCAATGGCAAGTTAGCCTGGTACATGAGAATTGCCTGTGGAAGTCTAGAAATTTATTATAATTATTTTATTTAAAGCTGAAAAGAGAAAAAAAGTTGTTCAAATTTTTTTTGGTGAATGGCATGCTTTGTCGTCGCCAATGCAAGTTCTAAGCGGCGATATCAGTTCATTTTTATATCCATCGATTGCTAATTAATAAAAAAAGTAAAATGTATGGAGATTTGACAGATTTATCCTTGGTGGTTAAGAACTGAAGCAAAAGTCTATTTAAGATTGGGTTTTGATTGCTTTTAAATTTAATTAAAAGAATTTCTTTTGACTACCCTATGCTCATTGAATATGGCTTAAGGAGTATCAGAGTTCTATACTTATGTAATGTATAGGACATAGGTAAAAGCAAAGGCCATAGGCTTGGGATGAGGGATGTCCAGAGTCTATCAAGCCATCTTCCTTTATATGGATATCCTTATGGAGGTATTGTTTCTATACGTATATATATATATATGTATCTCTTTCTATCGATCTATAGGTCTCTTTGTCTGCCTCTCTATTTGTGTGTTTATCAGTAGGTATGTCTGTTTGTATATACATCTGTGTGTATCTCTGCCTGCTATACCATATGCTTCTGCACCATAAACTCCCATTCAAGTACAGGGTATTTTTCAGTCAGGCACAATCGCCTACAGCATAACATTACATCAACTTGCTTTAAAAATGAATGTATGTATGCTGTAATTTGATTTCTGTTTTTGGTAAATTCTCTACTAATTGGTATTACAAATGGCATTGCCCCAATCAGCGTTTGACATATATTTGTCAGATTGAATTACATGACTAAGAAGAAGAAGAAGAAGGAGACGGGAAGGGTAAGAGGAAGAAGCAGTGAAAGAATTCGAGTTGTATAATGAAGGCACATCAAATTTCAGCATAATTTAATCGAGCTAATTAGGCAGCTGTTGTACGAATCAAATGGAGTACATGTTGCAACATGTGGCACACACACATACGCCCCCAATTATGTAATTAGAATAACATGGTAATAAACATTTCGTAATGTGCATAGCAGCTTTTGCCTCCGCACTTCGGAGTCACTTAAACTAATGTGCAACAAATTTTTATTTGTGGCAGCGTCGCCAACGTCGTCGTCGCTCGTCGAAGCCATTAAAAGTTATTGCTGTTAATAACCAATTAAAGTGCAAAAATAAACATCAATTATTGGGGCGGGACAAGGGCAGGGGCTGCGGCTGAGGCTGGGGCGACGCCGTCTGTGTAAAAAGCTGAGCTCAACTTTTTTCGGCTGTGTGGCAAGTAGCATTGAGTGTGCCACACAGCGTATGCGATGCATGCAACCAAGGCTCTATATGTGGCATGCTGGAAATTTATGCACATTGTTGCACAGCATATGGCAAGCAGCACTGAACGTGTGCCACTGACTGTGGCATAAGTAATCAAGCTGAACTTCAACTGCAGCCGCCCCCCTCTCTCTCTTTGCCCCGCCTCCTGCTGCAGCTCCAAAGTGGCAACTAAGCACTATTGGCCATTTGCTGGACCAACTTTCAATGTGCAACTGCCAAGTAAATGCATGATAAATGTTCTTCAAGTGTGCCAGTGTGCGTGTGTGTGTGTGTGTGAGTGTGTGTGTGTTTGCATGTGTGTCTTAAGCTGCTCTTTTAGAAAGCTAGGCAACATATGGACATATGCTAAGTGTTGCAACTCTGTGTGTGCTTTGTCTCTTTCCCAAACACTATGGGAATTATCGTAAAATAACAATTTCTTGCTGCCAGCTGCAAATTTATTTGCATATATAATAAATATAAAATATGTACGCAGAGATCAATATGTGTATGTGCTTTAAAGTCTTTTTCCACTTCGATTATTCAAGAGAAACATCTTAAGTTCTTAGAGTTCTAGTTAACAGATCAACAGCTGTTAAGTTTGTAATATTGATTTTTCATATTAAAAGTTCTACTTATGTTAGCTCCCATAAGCAGCTTTTATATTGAGTTCAGAAACGATTGGTTATAGAAGAGGAATACTTAACAGCTGTTAACTTAACACTATATTCTGAGAACATAATATTAAGGATATTCACTTTCCCGTAAGTAAGCCCCATAGGGCAGTTGTTAACATAACTAACTTATATAACAGTGGAGCTGAATCTACTTGTGGTTTCAGTGTGCTTAACAGATTCTGTTAGGGTTGCTTAACAGAATTCTACTAACAATCTGTTAAGCTAAATACCGTGGCATAAAATGAGTCTAAGAGCTTATGCACGTATATGAAATCTAGTTAACAGATAATACTTGATTCCTAGCGGAAATTCGATTTAGATAGATCACAAAATAAAACCTGTTAACCGTATTCTGTAAAGTTTTCTGCCAATTACAGATGTTATTAGTTTGATATGTAGATGACAAAATAAAACCTGTTAAACGTAATCTGTAATGGTTCCATTTACAAATTATATTTCAGTTTTCTACAAGTTTTCTTCCAATTATTCCATTTCATCCCATTGTACATCTGTTTGTCTACATATTCGAGCATAAGTCACACCTTGAGGCATTCACTTAAACAAGTGCTCTTTAATATTATACACGTATCTAATAGATATGCTCTGGCATCTGCAAGTGGCTGTTCGAGTGTTTGCCAGCTGCTTTAATTGACATGCAGTGGGAATTTCTAGCTCTATCGCAGCCTATGCTGACCCCCTTTCTGGAGGCTGCTCGAGAGCAAACTTTGTGCTTGAGCTTTAACAAGTGCCTTCTGTGTAAATTTTGGACAGTTTTTTGCCTTTGCCTTTGCCTTTACTTTTGTGGGGGTGGCTAAGGGGGCGAAGGCATTTCGAACAAACTTTTGCAGCAAGTTAAACACGCTAAGGACACGAAATTGTCAAGGTGCGTTCTCCAGGCAGACGCACGAGCGGCTTGAGTATACAATAATGTACACTGCCCGAAAATGCTGCACACACATTGCGGGATCTCTGACATTTATGAGAGTGTAGTGGTTGCTCGATGTCGTTGCTATGGGAAACTTCTCAAGTTACGCATTCGCCGCGTGTTCGCCGAGCTGACAGCCAGTTCACTAAATGCTCTCTCTCTCCCCTCGCTCAACGAACCACACCAAAATTCATGGTTTGCTAAACTTTGACAATCTAAACAGATTATATTCGTTTTGCTCAAACGGCATTTTAGTGTTAAATTTCGTGGAAGATTCGGTATTTCTATGAAATGGCCAAGAAATCTGAAGAGCGACTTGGTCGCTTGCTTGGTTGGCAGTTGGATTCAAGAAGAGGCATATCTAAAGTAAGCTACTCGCTTGTGCAGTGCATATGTATGTAGTATGTATGCTTATACTATATCTGATAAATACAGAAAAATGCAAAAGCTGAATATTCATGTTGAACTTTGATTGTATAGATATGGGTTAAATAGTAGTAAAAATTTGTTCATGAAAATAATAGTGATTTACTGCAGAAATTCATAAAAGTCGCAGCGCAACAGAATTTTGTTCATAAAAGTAGTAGTGAAAAAATATTAGTAAAAATAGTAGTGAAAAAAGTAGTGAAAACGTAAGAGTTCATGAAAAGAGTAAACTTTTTCTCTTTATTAGTATTTTTATTATTTTGTACATCGATTTTATGTGATTTATTCTAGAAATTTATAAAAGTCGCAGCGAAACAGGATTTTGTTCATAAAAGTAGTATTGGAAAAATAGTAGTAAAAATAGTAGTGAAAAAAGTAGTAAAAACGTAAGAGTTCATGAAAAGAGTAAACTTTTTCTCTTTATTAGTAGTTTTATTATTTTGTACATCAATTTTATATTTTTAAAACACGTATTCTTTAATTAATTTAATGCCTAACAATCACATCATCATTAATACTAATATATATAGATATATATGCATATAATTTTATTTATTAATATTATTGTCATTCAGAACTTTAAAACTTTGGTTGAAATGAAACTCAAAATTCAAATAAAACTCGTATAAAAAATTTAAAAAATAAATAAAATAATAAAATAGACTAAAATGTCAAAATCATTTATTTACAAAAGATTTTATGACAGTTTCAAAAAGTACTAAAAAAAGTAGTAAAAACGTAAGCAGTAATGAAAGGTAGTATTATTTCATGATAATTGTAGTGCAAATAGTAGTAGCTCATGAAATAGTACTGAAATAGTAATGTAATTGAGACCAATCATTCTACTTCGAAGAGGAGTATATATATGTGTGCATATCTACATACATATTGCATATATACGTATATTCATTGCATTCCGTATAAATTTGCAGCCCGCACAGCTCGGTTCATTTGCTGCTTTGACGTCAACATATCAATTTAAGTGTTGCCAATTTCCAGCTCACTTCTTCTTGGCAGCTCGATCGCCACATGCCACATGCTGCATGCCAGCACATGACGAGGCGACAAGCATGTGTATCTCTGGGTTGAGGAAATTGCAAAGCGAGAGTGAATCCAAAAATATTTGCGTACATAAAAATGCAAAGCAAATGAAATACGCCAGTGTGTGTGTGTGTGTGTGTGTGTGTCTGTGTGTGTGTGTGACCTGCTGTCAGCAAGCAGGTGACAGGCGCTTGACTGATGTCCTGATGAGCAGCTGCCTCATGGCATTGGCATAATTGAGGACAAACTGTCACAGCTTGCGGTTAATTAGTTGCACTCGCTGCTTGCCACAGATTGCAGTTGCAGTTGCAGTTGCAGTTGCAACGATTGCAATGCGAATACCCTGGCTAAGATGCTCGCATTGTTTGCTGCACGCAACGGGCAGCAGGCAGCAGTCAGCAGGCAGCGTGCAACATTTGCGTGCCGCACAATGCCAAGCCAAAAATTCAATTAATTTGTGAATAAACGCAAATTGAATTGCGTTCGGCGTCGACGCGCGCCTGGCAATGCCGTTGACGGTTAGCTTTTGTGTGCGACCACAGCCCTGCCACACTCACCCTGTCCCTGTCCCTGCCCCTGCCCCGTCAGCGCCTTTACTGTTCACTGCCTCCTGGCGCTGCATAATTGCCAGTGACATGGCCGCACTTGCACTTGGTTTGGCGCTGGCGTGGAGCATGTCGACGCCATCTTTGACGGCTTCTTAATTAAAAGACTGTCAATCTGTGTATATGTGTGTGTCTCTCTCTCTCTATCTGTGTGCGTGTGTGTGTGTGTGTGTGCTGGCCGGGCACAAC